CACTGTGTGCCGGACCGATAACAGTGGCATTCACTTCAATGGGCGCCGGCATGTCATACAATGAGACACTGATGTGGTAATCAGTGTTTGGCCGCAACGCCTTCGGGGCCACCACAGCATACATGGGTTTACCCCCATTTGCCCTTTCAGTATATTCAATAATAATTAATTTTGTAAATTTTAAAGATTAATTACATATAAACTTTATTGATTAATACTAACAGATGTGTTGTTGAGATAATTGCCAATAATGTCAGACATTTAATAGAAAATTGTAAATAATGTTTGATTGCATTTAAACCCATAGTTTAAACACAAAATATTTCAAAAGATACTTGTATTGAAAATACGTTTACACAATAGAGCTATGTTTACAATGAAAGTAATTCTTTGCTTATTTATAATATTTATATACGTTTACAAACTTATAACTGATTCACAAAATATGACTTAATTCATACAAAATTCATTTACAAAATGATTTCAATTCAATTGACTTTGTTTTTAATTAATTTAAAAAACACTGAAAGTTTCGCAATTTAACCATATTTTTTGTGAATTAGTTATCAGTTATAGGTTTGTAAACTTATATCAATAGTTAGAGAATTGTTTGCATTGTAAGAATAGCTTTATTGAGTGAACATATAATTAATACAAAAATTGTTTTGAAATATTTTTTGCTCAAATCATATGTTTCATTGAAATGATACATTATTTTCAATTTTCTATTAAATGGCTGACATTATTGGCAATCATCTCAACAGCACAAAGGTTAGTATTAATTAATCAATAAAATTTATATTTAATTAACTTTTAAAAATTATAAATTTAATTATTATTGAATATAAGGGCAAATGGGGGTAAACCCATGTATGTTGTGGTGGCCCCGAATGTGTTGCGGCCAAACACTGATTACCACATCAGTGTCTCATTGTATGACATCCCGGCGCCCATCGAAGTGAACGCCAGTGTTATCGGTCCGGCTCACAGTATTAGCACCGGTGCCGTCGCTGTCGGTACAGCTGAGTCCAAAGTGCTAACCCTAGCGATCGGCGATTGGCCAAAAGGCAGGTATAGGGTACAGGTGGAGGGAAAGGGCGCAAATTTCACCAAGTACGATAATGCTGTTGCCATAACAAGGGATAGCTTTTTAGGAAGAGTGTTTCTTTATTATGAGGCGAAATGTGTGTCGGTATTCATACAGACAGACAAAGCCACGTATAAAACCGGACAGAAAGTACAGTTCAGGGCTGTTGTGGTCAACCCTTCGCTGATTCCCAAAGACAATGTTCCCATTGATATACATATTAACGTATTTATAATTTTTAGTTTGAAAATGAGTTTAATTTCATAACAATATACGAATTGATAGGACGGTAACGGAAAGCGTGTCATTGAATGGACAAAATTGTACGCANGCCAGTGTTATCGGTCCGGCTCACAGTATTAGCACCGGTGCCGTCGCTGTCGGTACAGCTGAGTCCAAAGTGCTAACCCTAGCGATCGGCGATTGGCCAAAAGGCAGGTATAGGGTACAGGTGGAGGGAAAGGGCGCAAATTTCACCAAGTACGATAATGCTGTTGCCATAACAAGGGATAGCTTTTTAGGAAGAGTGTTTCTTTATTATGAGGCGAAATGTGTGTCGGTATTCATACAGACAGACAAAGCCACGTATAAAACCGGACAGAAAGTACAGTTCAGGGCTGTTGTGGTCAACCCTTCGCTGATTCCCAAAGACAATGTTCCCATTGATATACATATTAACGTATTTATAATTTTTAGTTTGAAAATGAGTTTAATTTCATAACAATATACGAATTGATAGGACGGTAACGGAAAGCGTGTCATTGAATGGACAAAATTGTACGCAAAAAACGGTGTCATCGCTGAAGAGCTGCAACTGTCGGCACAGCCAGTGTTGGGCCACTGGACTATAGGTGTGATGGCGTGCAGACACAACACCACAAAGACATTCACTGTCGTCGACGATATGTTTCCCACGTTTGACGTGGAGGTAGTGTTGCCAACATATGTGACCACAAATCGGTCAGAAGTGGTGGCACTCGTAAAGGCATTTGATACAAATGGAAAGGCTATTAAGGGAGAGCTCACTCTTTTTGTTCGGGCCATCAATTATTATAGAAACAGTAAAGATTTATTATAAATAATATATAAAATTACTTAATTATAAATTATAATCAATACTAATAATAAGAGAAACATATAATTTGACCATCATGATTAGGGCTTTAATATCAATATTATTAAATTAAAAATCAAACAATAGAATAAAACTATGAACTAATCCCAGTCTACATTAGACATATTTTCAGTACACTTATAGTATCTAAAGACACTAACTTTTACACGAGAAAGTAGAGTAAAAGTAGCGTATTTTTGTAAAATTACAGTATTTCTTAATAAGCCGTTCTATCGAGCTATTAATGTTTTCGTAATTAATAATTAATAAGTTTTATGAATACATTAATATCATTACTCATTATTCTGTGTCTGTTTGTTCTTATATATTAATATTATTATGTACATATACTTTATGTTATTACATTAATGCATTATTCTGTGTCTGACTTAAGGTAAATTCCGGACAAAGACTGCGATCGATGGAAGCGTTACATTGACTATCAATTTAGTGGAAGATTTACAAATCAAAGAGTTTGTAAACAACAAACACCGCGAGTTTGAAGTGACGGCTGTAGTGAGGGATACGTTGACCGGAAAGCAGTGCAACCGAACCAATACAGTGAACGTATACGAAAGGGATTTGAAGTTTGATGTGATAATGCCGTCGACCGCATACAAACTGGGGCTGAAAAACACGTTTGTCGTCAAAGTTTGCACACAAGACGGCAAACCAGTGGCCGATAGCGGACCGCAAGTCAAACTCCAATACGGCTTTGTATTTAATAACAGTAAATGGATAAACAGTTCGCTACTGTTGTCGCCAACCAATGGACTCATTAAGTTTGATGTGTTTCCGCCCAGAGATATGGGAAGAAGCGAATTGGTATTTACAGCCGAATATATGGGACTCACGTATGATTTAGATATTAAGAGGGCTACGACCCGGTCCGGGCACTACATGCAAGTGATCCGTTCGGACACTACAAACGACATCACTGTCGGACAGGAAGTAAAATTCATAGCGAATGCGACCGAACCTATCGGACGATTGGTGTGCGAAGTGATGGGAAAGGGAGACATAGCGTGGGCTAAAAGTTTTGACATTCCCGCTAATACTACGGCCGGCTATGAGTTCAGTGTCGCGACTGTGCCTCAAATGGTGCCGACGGCCAGAGTTATGTGTTATTACGTGCGGCCCGACGACCGGGAAGTGGTGGCCGACGATATCGACTTCGATGTGGTGCCAGTGATTGGGACGCCTTTTACTGTAAACGCCGACACCCGTCACACCAGTCCGGGAGAGTTTGGCTGCGTTTGGCTCAACACTAGTCACAACCCGTTTGTCGACGTCAGCCGAGAGGATGTGGTGAACGAACTGAAGACATACGTGAGGACTACCCGCCAATCAGACCATTATAAACACTATAGGCGTTGGGACCCAACTATGATCACGTTTGACGAGTCGGCCGTTGGAGTGATTCACAACGGGTTCATTCAAGTTAAGTAAATAATTAAAATAAATGTAAAACAAATGTTTACAAATAACTAATAAATGATTTATAATTATATGATGAAATTTTATTTATGATATGAAACTGTACATAAGAATATAATTTTTAACCACAATTCAGCGATGAATAATGTGATTTATAGGATCTTTCGGCTACCCATCCCTCTTCCTCCCCCGCGCTATGGGATTTAACATGAAATTACAGCTTAAGTCTATGGTTATATTTCAACATAAGTCGATGGCAATGCTAATCCTATAGATAATGTTAAGTCTTTGGGACTAATGCTAATCATATAAACAATGTTGGTCGTATGAGACGAATGCATATAGTAGTGATTAATCTATAGACAATGATAACTCTATGGGCAATTCTAAATCTATGGGGAGTGCTAATTCAATGGACTCTTATTAAATGTGTAGAAAAAGCAAATCTGTATGTATTTATTACTTATACAGTATACAGAGAATAGTCAATTATGCTATAAATTAATAATTATATTTAACAATATTAAGTGTTTTAGCTAAGCGCTATTATAATTAATTATTTAAGGAAGTGTATTATATAAAACATAAAATTGTTTTCAAAATCAAATTAAAAATTACAATTATATCAAACTCATAATAAGCAAATAATTTCAAACAAATATATCTACCATATCTTGATTTAATATGTTTTCATATATTGAAACCAACCATAGTTACTCATATAGAACATACATAATTTAAATAGTACATAAAATGTTAATTTAAAGTCACCGTAAAAGAATAATATGTAACATTTCAAATATTGTGAAACTTTCTATGATTTAAAACTAATTAAAGAAAACATCAGTTTATTTGAGATCATTTGTAAACAAATTTTATAAAAATTTAGTTATATTTTTCTTGTAAATCAGTTATAAGTTTGTAAACGTATATAAAAATTATAAATAAATAGAGAATTGTAAACATAGCTCTATTTTGTAAACGTATTTTTAATACAAGAGTTACTTTGATATATTTTGTGTTCAAACTATGGGTTTCAATGCAATTAAACATTATTTACAATTCTCTATTCAATGTCTGACATTATTGGCAATCATCTCAACAACACATCTGTTAGTATTAATCAATAAAATTTATATGTAATTAATTTTTAAAATTTACAAAATTAATTATTGTTGAATATAAGGGCAAATGGGGGTAAACCCATGTATGTTGTGGTGGCCCCGAATGTGTTGCGGCCAAACACTGATTACCACATCAGTGTCTCGCTGTATGACATCCCGGCGCCCATCGAAGTGAACGCCACTGTTATCGGTCCGGCACACAATGTCAGTACCGGTGCCGTCGCTGTCGGTACGGGTGAGTCCAAAGTGCTAACCCTAGCGATTGGCAATTGGCCCGAAGGCGACTATAAGGTGCAGGTTATGGGAAAGGGCGCTAATTTCACCAAGTACGACGTAGTCCCAGATGGACAAGGTGATAACAATATTGAGAGACCAACTCTTGAGATAACAAGGGATGGATTTTTAAATGAATTGTCACTTCATTATGAGCCAAAATGTGTGTCGGTATTCATACAGACAGATAAGGCTGTGTATAAACCCGGACAGAAAGTACAGTTCCGGGCCGTTGTGGTCAACCCATCGCTGATTCCCAAAGACAATGTTCCCATTGATATATATATTGAGGTATTTATAATTTTCAGTTTGAAAATGAGTTTTTATTTATTTATTAATTATTAATAAATTAATTAATTTCATAACTTTCATACGAATTGATAGGACGGTAACGGAAAGCGTGTCATTGAATGGAGAATATTGTACGCAAAAAACGGTGTTATCTGTGAAGAGCTGCAACTGTCGGCACAGCCAGTGTTGGGCCACTGGACTATAGGTGTGATGGCGTGCAGACACAACACCACAAAGACATTCACTGTTGTCGCCGCCGACGAGAATCTGTTGCCCACGTTTGATGTGGAGGTAGTGTTGCCAACATATGTGGTTACAAATCGGTCCTCAGAAGTGGTCGCAACTATTAAAGCAATTGATACCAATGGGAAGGCTGTTAAAGGAGACCTCACTCTTACCGTTGAGACCAATCATTACAATCCGAGTATAGATTTATTATAAATAATTTATACATTTATACATAAATATTATTATATAAAGTATATGTAAAGTAATACTTTAAAAGTATAAAGTGTATACATAAATGTACATACATGTATACTGTACTTTATATTATTACATTATTACATGTCTGACTGATAGGTAAATACCGGACAAAGGCTACGATCGATGGAAGCGCTACAATAGCCGTCAATTTAGCAGAAGATTTAGCACTCGATGAACGCATAGTTGACTCAAATGGCGATGAAATTGAGTTCACGGCACGAGTGAAGGAAACGGTGACCGGAAAGGAGTACAACAAATCCCATACAATAAAGATATACGACAGGGATGTGAGGGTAGAGCTTATAAAGACGTCCGTCACATACAAACCGGGGTTGAAAAATACGTTTCACCTAAAAGTGGTCACACAAGACAGCAAACCGGTGGCCGATAGCGGACCGCAACTCAAACTCAAATACGGCTATTCATCGAATGAGAGTGAATGGAAAGAATGCAAAGACAGTCCGTTACTGTTGTCGCCAACCAATGGTGTCGTTAAGTTTGATGTCTTTCCTCCCAAAGATATAAACTTAATGGAAATTAAAGCAGAATATAAGGGACTCACGTATGATATATACATTGCAAAGGCTATGACCCGTTCCGGGCACTACATGCAAGTGCTTCGTTTGGACACTACAACCGACATCACTGTCGGACAGGACGTAAAATTCATGGTAAATGCGACCGAACCTATCGTACGACTGGTGTGCGAAGTGATGGGAAAGGGAGACATAGCGTGGGCTAAGAGTTTTGACATTCAGACTAATATTACGGCCGGCTATGAGTTCAGTGTCGCGACTGTGCCTCAAATGGCGCCGACGGCGCGGGTTCTGTGCCATTACGTGCGGCCCGACGACCGGGAAGTGGTGGCCGACGCTATCGACTTCGATGTGGTGCCAGTGTTTCGGACGCCCGTCACAGCCGTCGACATTAAACCGGAAGAGTTGGCCGGCGTTGGGCTCATGACTAGTAACAACCCGTTTGTCGACATCAGTGTCGAGGATGTTGTGAACGAACTGAAGACATACAACCGCCAGATTGCCCGCAAGTCATCCTATTTTGGTGGTTACGAGCACTCGTTGGCAACGGTTGTCACGTTTGACGAGTCGGGCGTTGGAGTGATGCACAACGGGTTCATACTTATTGGTTATGTAAATAAGTAAAGTTAATATCAAACAAATGTGCTTGTTAGTTCTCATTGTTAGTACATTTAATTTATTAAATAACTACTAAATAGTATATAATTATATTATAAAATTATATTTGTGATCTATGATTGAACATAAGAATTAAATTTTTAAAAGAGATATAAAACACATAATATAAAATTTACATTTTATTTAGCTTACACATAGTCCATGCATTATCATAATTCAAATTAAACCCATTATAAGTAAATAATTCAAACCCGATATATAAACGTATTCATAAAATTCATAGTTATTCATAGGAAACAGATTATAGCAATAGAAACCAATGTCCGGTCCGGACAACTGCTCGGCCAATGTCTGCACCCGTAGTCTATACCTTACGGTAAATGTCGGACATTTAACTAAATATGTGTATAACAATGTCCGTGGCTTATGAGCCGCTCTGGATATCCAAGTGCTCATCACATTCATACCCAATACGGCTGAATAACATACGACAGCAATGATAGCGGCGAATACCCGGCCATAAAACTCAGTTTCCCTGTGATGTATGCAATATATCAGGAGCTGAAAGCCTGGGGTCGCCATATAGTAGATGATAAATATGGGCCAACGAAACGTATAGTTCAGATCCCGAGCCAATACCTCCAGTGAATTGTGTTCGTGAAGTATATCAATTAATATGTCAATATTGCTCACATTATAAATTATACCACGTTTAACATGTGATACTAGCTTATGGTATACTTCGTTAAACTTGTACTTCAAGTATAGGGCGCTGGCGTACCAGAAGCTGAATCCGCAAAACAATATACCAAACACTTGAACGCAAAATACAAATAATACACACGACCACAACACTATGCCTATTATGGTATAATTTGCACTTGTATCATTAAACGCTAAGAATGTACCGTATAGATTCATTGACATTGTAGCCGCTATCATAAAGCATGAAACTTGGTCAATTACATATCTGGCCATTATGTTTAACCTTCTAACCAAACACATCCTAGACTTTTTGATATTTGAGTTTCAAACTCTCGGTAAAAATCAGTCTTAAGAGTCAGTGCAAAAAAAATTCAGGAATGCCTCAATCAAACATTTGAGAAAATAATAGATTAACCAAAACTATATTATCACATCTAGTGTCCGAGTAA